ACGTTCCCAGAAAATTGCCGAAGGTAGCACAGCAGAAGGCTCCCGGGGCCCAGTGTTGCCTTTGGCCACGGTGGTGAAACGTCATGGTCACTGTTGGCCCCACCTTGGACTGGGTTTCTTGCCAGAGAATTCCCACCCAGGAGGCCACGGTGAATTTAGCTGTCACTTCTGGGTGGCCTCTGGCAGGGTCCCGTCTTCCTGCGGGGCGGCCCCGTGAGCATCTGCTCATCCCCTTTCCTCCGCTGGGCCTGGGTGAGTGCAGCCCTGGGTGCCACCCTGGGGTTCCTGCACGCTGTTTGAAACTCTCTTGTGGTCGGCTCAAGATCAAAAACTGATGGCTGAGCAGTCCTGGGGCCCCTGAGCACAAGTTGGGCGGTGCCGGTTCCGGTCAGCGGTTTTCTCCTGACACTCCTGGGCCCCTCTGAAGGCCCACAGGTGGCGGTCCAGCTCCAGTCAGTGTTCTCCCCCAACACAGTGGCTCTTGGCGGAGGGGTGGGCGCTGCCCAGAGGGATGGGTACCACGTGGTCATCCCCATGGCAGGTCCCGTTCGTGGCAGCCGTGTTTGGTGGGGAGGAGGTGCCTGGCTGCCCTTTACCTGTGAGATGGAGTCCCTGCTCTGGGAGGCACAGCGGGACGGAGTGAGGGACCCTAGGCTGTCCAGGAAGGCTCCCCCTGCCCTGTGTGCTTCCTCCAGGCGTTCCTGGTGCACTCCAGGCAGCAAGTCCCAGTTGGGGGGTGCCCAACACCTTTCACCCTGTTGGCTTCCTCCAGGCATCCTGGTGCACTCCCAAGGCACAGTGCCCAGTGGGGGTGCCCAACCTTCCACCTGAGCAATGGTGCCTCCCTTGGGGCGACCTCCCACGCCTTTCACTGACACTGGGGATGGGAGGGGGAGCCGGGAAACTTGTCCCATTGGGCAGAAGGGCTGCACCTGAGGTGGCTTGAGCAACACCAGGGCCACAGTTCCCAGCAGCCTTCAGTCTCCGCTGGGCTGGACGGCAGTTCTGGTGGAGGCACGGTGACCTTGATGCTAGGCACCTATGTGCCCGGAGGTTTGGGCAGTGGCTTGCCCTCTGTCCTGGAGCCTATGAAGGTGAATGGGTCTGGGATCTGCGGGTGGCAGCAGTTGTGGACCGGGGGCACTGCCTGGCCACGGGCTGAGACCGCAGGAGGGGTTCTGCAATCCTCCTGCCTCTTGGGAGGCTGCCCTGGGTCTGGCAGTCAGTGGGTCGGCTCGGGCTTTCCGTTATTAGAAAGTTCACTGAGAACTGGCAGTGCTGAGGGAGCAGGGCAGGGCTGTGGCACGTGCAGGGCCGCTCCGGTGGTCCACACGCATGCTGGGCTCTGCCGAGGGTGCAGGAAGCCTAGTGTTTCACCCTGAGCCGGTCCTGGTGCCCCTGGTCTGCACCCATCCACCACTTGGCTCCGGCGTCGTTACGGGTGGGGCTCCCATGGGCCTCCCTCAGCTCCCCTCTCCCCCACTAGACACGGCGATATGCCTCCGAGGATGGAGTCCTCCACCGAGGCCATGGTTGGATGCCCATGTTGAAGGGACTTTTGTTCAGCAGCACAGCAGACCAATGCACTTGCTTGGAAGAAAGGAGAGGCCTGGGCCAGTGGATGAGCACGCCCTTATCTTCTGAGTCCACAGTGAGACCCACAACTCACGGAGCTGGCCGTGGACCCCTCCCACCCTGCCTTTCCGGCCCTGGCCACATTTAGGAAATGCTCCCCCTAATAAAGGTCCCACAGGTGCCGCACTGCTGTGTCTATTGGCTGATGCGGGGCGGGTATTTGGGTTCCCCTAGTGCCCTCCTGGGGTCAAAAGGTGACGGAAAAGACAGAGGCTGGAGCTTTCTGGAGAATTTCCTAATCACAGAGGGTGGGTTCACATGAGGTGCCTGCCACAACGGGGCCGGCTGCCTGAATGGCCGTTGGACTGGCTGCCCTGTGCCCATCCTGCAGCCGTGCAGACACGGGTGCGTCCTTCCCTCCCTCCATTAGCGCACAGGAAACAGACACAGCGGCTTCAAACAGATGCTGGCCCGTACCGCGTGCTTCACCGCCCCTGTAACTTCCCCCTGCCCCTGCTTTGCAGCTAGGCCCTGAAAACCTTGATGATGGGCTGGGCGTGGTGGCTCACGCCTGGAATCTCAGCGAGGCCAAGGGCGGGTGGATCACCTGAGGTCTGGAGTTCCAGACTAGCCTGGCCAACATGGTAAAACCCCATCTCTCCTTAAAAAATACAAAAATTAGCCAGGCGTGGTGGCAGGTGCCTGGAAATCCCAGGTACTCAGGAGGCTGAGGCAGGAGAATCATTTGAACCCGGGAATGAGGTTGCACTGAGCCAAGTCCTTGCATTGCACTGCAGGATGGACAACAAGAGTGAAACGCCCTCTCAAAAAAAAAAAAAAAAAAAAAAAAAAAAAAAAAAAAAAAGCCAGGCCAGGTGGGCACTGTTGGTGGTCCCAGCTTCTTAGTCTGGAGGCTGAGGTAGAAGGATTGCCTGAGTATGGGAGGCGGAGGTTTCAGTGAGCCGAGATCGCACTACTGCACTCCAGCCTGGTTGACAGAGTGAGGACCTCTCAATCAATAAAACCAAAACCTTGATTATAGCCATGGTTTGGGGGGCGTCTGGCTATGGCAGGGGAACTCATTTGGTTTTCCTCCTCCTCTTCTATTTCTTGGAAGAGACAGGGTCTCTCTCTGTTGCGCAGGCTGGTCTCCAACTTCTGGGCTCAAGCGATCCTCCTGCCTCAGCCTCCCAAAGTGGTGGGGTTACAGGCGTGAGCCACCGCAGCTGGCCTGTTTGTTTTTTTGGCGACAGAGTCTTGCTCACCCAGGGTGGAGTGCAGTGGCCTGATCTCAACTCACCGCAACCTCCACCTCCAGAGTTCAAGCAGTTTTCCAGCCTAAGTCCTCTGGAGTAGCTGGGATTACAGGCGCACACCACCATGCCCAGGTTAATTTTTGTATTTTTGGCAGAGACGGGGGTTTCACTGTTGGCCAAGCTGGTCTCAAACTCCTGTTTTCAGGTGATCTGCCCACCTCAGCCTCCCAAAGTGCTGGGATTACGGGTGTGAGCCACCGTGCCTCGCCAGCATTTTCTGGCTTGTTTTTTATATATTTTTTTGAGACGGAGTCTCACTCTGTCGCCCAGGCTGGAGTGCAGTGACGAGATCTGGGCAGCTCACTGTGTTATATGTAAATTTTCTGTGCCGCCAAAGAAGTAGCACTCGAATATAAGTTTTCCTTAGCTAGACAATTTACTTCTATAGAATGGGGCGTCTCATACATGGAGCAATGGCGAGCGCCTGGACAAGGGAGGTGAAAGTTCTTAGCTATTTATCTTCTGTTTCTTTCCAACGTTTTGCTTTCTCTCCCTTTTCCTGTCTTATAAACTGGGGAAAAGGGGAGATGGGGAAAAGCTGGGTAGGACAACAGGAGAAGTGGTGGTCTCATTCTATATTTCCCCCCTTTGAGAATTTTCACCTTTTTAGTGGCAGTTCTCACTCTCATCTTTACTTTCTGAGTCTCTTTGTGAGATAGAGCAACAGCGATTCATATAATACACATGTGCTGAAGTTTTCTGATGAACCAAAGTAGCAACAAAACTTTTTATCATTTGAAAAAGCAAGGGTAATACACAGGGGAGCAGCAAGCAAGTTCCTATTGCTAGCAGTACACCTACAATGAGGGTTTTAAATCTTCCTATAGCTGGAAACCATTTTCCAAATAAAGACCTAGGATCAAAGTCATGCCAAACCTGTACAGGCACATGTGCCAACTTCGTCATGTCCCTGACTGTGTTTTCAACCACCTGTCCTTCAGCATCTATTTGTAGGCAGCTATTGGTTAAGTCAGATTTTCTACAGACTCCTCCTTTAGCTGCAAGTAGTCCAAGGCCAGTCTATTCTGATAGATAGCATTTCTCATTTGCGTTTCCTGCCGAGCTAAAACAGTCAAAGCTCTGCCAGTTTTATTAATAATTATTTCTAAGACGGCCTGCAACCCTATGATCCGATTGAGCATGTAGATGGGGGTTCGGTATCCCCCTGAGCCATCTCGTGCCCATGTGGCAGGCCCATAATACTGTATGATCCTTTCAGGAGGCCACTCATTATCTTTCCGGTTTCCTATAACTATGCCTCTCTTTTCTCGGGAGGCATAGACAGGGAAACCTAGGAGCTCACCCGTTTTTACAGGTGAGAAGAAAAAGGACGGTTTAATCGTGCCAATAACACAACTACCTGTTCATTTGTTAGGTCACCGAATGTAGGCTCTGTGCCCACATACCCAGTATAGTCCAGCGGGAGCAGTCCAGTCCTGATAAGATTCTGGATGAGCCCAGGCAGTTTTTAATTTAGAAAATTTACTAAATGGGTTCTTTTCAGTGTGATTTAGGCCCCACCAAGTAATTGTTTTTGTTGTGCTGTTGTACAACTTCCGTCCTATACAATTAAGCTTTCCTACAGGGATGATGAAGTCTTTTCCTTCCCTAGCTGTACGGTAGTGTCCAATACTTGAGGTTTTTAGGACCCAGAAGTTGCTAGCTTGGGCCTTCTGAACTGGAATTATATCAGGAGCTGGATCAGTGGGCACCAACTCTCGGGCTTCCCAAGGCCATCGGTCTCCCATAGTGGTTCCCCCGCGTACGTAACAAGAAGTAACATTAAGGGAATGAGCTACATTTTCTGCTAATTGGAGAAACAAATTTTTTGTCTTTTTCGGAAGTTCTGGTGCTCACAGATTCAGCTCCTCATAAAAGGTTTGAAACACTGGTTTGGGAGAGCGCCTGTAGGCCTCCCCTCGGACTAAAATGGCAACATGGGGGTTTAACCCTGTCCCATCAATCCCCAGGGTTACGGGTTCTCCCTTTTCCCAACGGGGATCTGGGGGATTGGTGGTTATTAGTTCCAGTGGGTTACAGTGACCAACAGCACAGGAGGGTTGGCGGGGGTCTAGGGGACGGGTGATTATGAGGTCCGGTGGGTTACAGTGACCGGCAGCACAGGAGGGTTGGCGGGGGTCTAGGGGATGGGTGATGATGAGTTCCGGGGGGTTACAGTGACCGGCAGCACAGGGGGGGTTGGCTTCCCCTTCTGAAGATGAACCGGGTCCTTTTTGTTCTTTTTCCAAGTATCCCAAATAACACTTGGCCATAGGCACAATTTTCACAAACCCCTGACTCATGACAAACATATTTCTTTTCTACTCTGTAGCTCCTTTCCCAGTTAAGAGAACCACATCCTGTTCCTAGCTTGTTACTATTAATGGCCGCACAAGCATCAAATCTTAAGGCTACTTGTTTGGGGATTCCTTTTCCTTCTGTTCTAGTTATTATTTTACTTGTATCACCTAGGAAAAGGCCAGTTCTTAATCTTATTTTGAAAACAGTGGTTGCAGGGGGCTCAGATGGGTTATAACACACATCAGGTTGGTCATTTCCCCGGCTACATACCTTGTTCTGAGTGGCATTATACAAGCAAGTTTCTTTCAACATTCCCGTACATTCATAATAACTATAGAACAGAAAGATTGTTTTCATTTGCTGTCCTACCTCAGTGACCTGATGAATACACTGGGAACAGTCACCGGTTTGAGTAAGGTCAGTTGAAGCCCTTACTGTATAAGTCCAAAATTTAAGAAAATGAATCCCACGATGAGATTCCTCATGCTTCGGCCGTGCGTGGATCAGTCAGCTTCTGGGTGTGACTGGAGCAGGGCTTGTCGTCTTCTTCAGGGTCACTCCGCAAGGGTTGTCCGGGCTTGGTCTTGCCTCCCAGGTTTCAGGCGCTGCAGGTTTTACAAGGCTGTGGTGGATCCGGGCTAGGATTCCCTCTACCTTCACAGCGGTGGGAGTGTTCAGGATAACCATCTGGGGTCCTTTCCACCCTGGGCACAAAGAGGCTACGTTCCAGTCCTTGATCCACACTGGGTCACCTGGGGAGAAAGGGTGAACTGGAGAGAATAAGCTAACAGGGCATCTCTCATTTACCCAGGCTGAGATTGTTTGTGTAATTTTCCCTAAAGCCTGTAGCTGTCGCTGTAACTCAATTTCACCTAACTCTCGGGGAGTGCCTGGAAGTCCCCGCAATATGGGAGGGGGCCTATGATATAATATTTCATAAGGGGAATATCCCGTTCTTTTAGAAGGGGTACGTCTAATTTTAAATAATACCATAGGGAGAGCCTGTATCCATTTTAATCCTGTTTCCTGATATACTTTCCCTAAACTATTTTTGATAGTCCGATTCATCCGCTCCACCTTTCTGGAACTCTGAGGCCGGTAGGCGGCATGCAATTTCCATGTGATCCCCAATACCTTTGCTATCTTCTGTACCAAGTCAGCTACAAACCCCGGCCGGTTATCTGAGCCGATCCGTAAGCGCAGTCCAAATCTAGGAATAAGATCTCGAAGAAGCACACGGGTTACTTCAGGAGCTTTCTCAGTTCGTGTTGGATGAACCTCCACCCACCCAGAGTAGGTACACACAAGAACTAGTAAACACTTGTTACCGCCACACTGTGGCATCTCTGTGAAGTCCACCTGGAGATCTTCAAAGGGGGCTGCTCCATAAGCTTGAATGCCGGGCACCCCGGCCCCGTCCACGCCCCGCAAGAGGAGCTCGCTGGCCCCGCCACGCGGGAAGGGGCCGCCACGCGGGAAGGGGCCGCTCCGCGGTCGTGGGCGGGAGGCCCCGGCTCCCTCTGTGGGGAGCCCTAGGGCCATGCGGAGACACGGAGGAGGGGAGGTGCCTCCCCTGAGCTCCTGGCGCGGCGACCCCAGGGCGCCGACTCATCGCGCAAGGGCTCGGCTCGCCCGGGCGCCGGTGCTGTCTCGGGTGAGGCTCCCGCGAGACTCTTCTCTGCGTCCTGGACTCACCGCGGGGCGCTCCCTGGACACTTGCCACCCGTTGCCGCCAAGGCCGGAACTCCGCGGAGCCCCTGGCAACGGACCGACGCGGTCGCGGCGCTGGGCGGAGGTTGCCCCGGGTTCGCGTACGTCCCTCGAGAATTTTGTCCCGGCGTGGCTACCGTAGCCAGACGCTTCACCCCGCCCGCCCTACTCCCGCCCCCCATTCCCGCCCGCTGGGTCCCAGAGCACGCTGCGCCATGGCGGCGCCGTCGCCGTGGCGTCACTGTCCTGGCGGCCAATCCGAGGGCTGCGCGCGTGTCCCTTACGCGCTTCTATTGCCGGGAGGAAGGGCGTGTGTCGCGCCTGCGCAGTGGTCTTGGCCACCGGCTCGCGGCTCGTGGAGGCTTGTCCCAGACGCACGCGAGTCAGACTCGGGTTGGGGTCCTGGCGGCGGCGGCGCGAGCATGTCGTGGCTTTTCGGCATTAACAAGGGCCCCAAGGGTGAAGGCGCAGGGTCGCCACTGCCTTTGCCGTCCGCGCAGCCTGGTGCCGAGGTCGGCGGGGACCGCGGCTTGGGAGACCGGCCGGCGCCCAAGGACAAATGGAGCAACTTCGACCCCACCGGCCTGGAGCGCGCCGCCAAGGCGGCCCGCGAGCTGGAGCAGTCGCGTGAGTGCGGCGGAGCGGAGCGGGTGGGACGGTCGGGCCGGGCCGCGCCGGGCCCGGAGCTCTGGCCCTTGCTGCTCCTCGCCGCTGTCGGCAGCCACTTCCCGGGGGAGACTGCGCCCCCGGAGCACCCCCGGCCGGAGCCGTTTCGCGTGCCGGGAGGATCGGACTCTTTCCGTCACCCTTTTGCACTTCTGCAGCTGTCAAGAGCGGGTCAGGTGCGGAGGTGGCGCTCACGGGTTACAGGGTCAGGGCCTGGGGCTGGCCCTGGTCTTTCAGTTACCACCGAGTGCGTGGGATCTTTCTGCGCTTGCTGCCTCCACGTGGCGCAGGCCGAGGCGTGGCCATGTCGGTAGATGGGTTTGTTGGGTGGTTGCTAGCAATTGCCACATAACGAGGAAAGCATATTTGAGAGTTACTTGGTTCTAACAAGAGTCTAGCAGATTTGCAGTTCTTGTTGGAAGACGTTAGCGTTTGCACGGCGAGGTCTGTGAACCGCAGGTCAGGCCGTGCTGCCCAACTTGAGGAATTCCCTGACCCAGTGCCCTCAGGTGTGAGCACTCACCATGTTGGCCAGGCTGGTCTTGAATTCTGGCCTCAGGTGATTGGCCCACCTCGGCCTCGCAAAGCGCTGGGATTACAGGCGTGAGCCGCTGCTCATGGCCTTGCTGGGTAATTTTAATGATCAGGTTAGGATGGGAATCAAGGGCTGGACTTCAGGGCACCTCGGAGGACAGCGGACTTTGGTGACGGACTTTCTTGCTGTAGGCTCATTTGGAGGGTTCCTTTCTGTCCTAATGCCTGGGGGTTTTCACCTGCTGACTTCACTTAGAGATCGAAACTTGTCCCACTTCGAGAAGCTGAATCTTAGTTATCAGTGGTACAGGCCTGATTGAGCAGCCTCAGGCCGCCGAGGGCCTCCTCCCCATGGTGCAGACCTGTGCCTCTGAGTTGCTCCAGTCCTGGCAGCCCCAGAGCCCCTGATCTGCAGTCTGCTCTGCCTGGGTTGCCAGTGGCTTGGCCTGCCCTTTGTGGTCGAGCGGGGCCTGCCAGGTGCACCGTGGGGAGCCCTCCATCAGTCTTTGTTTCCTGTGGATTCTGTTCCAGGTGTGGACTCTTTCATTCTTTCATTTTTATCCCTTCCCTCCTTCCTGGCCTGACTGCTGGCTGGTGACAGAGGTTTCTCCAAAGTTTGCCGCTCCCTTTCCGTCCTGGACCTCTTTTTCCCCGAGTGCTCCCTGCCGTGCCCATCTGCCTGGTAGTCCCTCTGCAAGCCCGTCCTCTCCTGGCTTCCTGTGTGCCCCTTTCCTGGCAGCAGGGTCGCCGAGATTCGGCTGGAGCCCGTTGCTTTGGCCTTGCTGCTCTCCGGGCAAACGGGCGGCTCCTCCTCACAACCTGGCTGCCTCCTCTGTCCCTGGAGGCAAAGCCCCATGCTGCCTCGTTCCCAGGGTCTTCCCTGACCCCTCCTGCGGCCTGTCCTTGGAAGCCAGAGCAGCACATTGTCCCAGAACTGTTTGTGTGAGCACCAGCGCTCGCCCTGCCCTCCACAGAGGGGTGCCTGGAGGAGACCCTCGTGCCCAGTGGGTGTGAATCCATGCGCTGGGAGCACGTCCTGGCACAGGGTCACCCCAAGGTGGTGAATGATTGTTCTCATTCTAATAACGAGAGGCCACACGAGCCCCAGATCTGCTCTTTCCCCTCTCATCCTCCCCAGAGTCACTGGGGGTGGGAACTGTCAATGAGCCATTTTCAGGGGAGGGAGTGGCGTCAGCTTAATCCAGCCAAAGGTCCTCTCGGGAGGAGGTAGGCAGAGCGCCTCACTGTGATGCCCACGTTCCTGTCACTGCTCTGTGGCAAGACCCCGGGGGGCTGACACACCCTCGGCCCCCTCCAGGTCAGAGTGAGAGTGGGTGAGGGCCCCGGGGCCCTTCAGCCCTTGGCTTCCTGAGCTCACCAGCCAAACCCATTGACCTGGCACTGTCTTCCCTGAGAGGCAGGTCCCTGTCCCATCTGTGCTGTGGTCACTGGGGCCCCCGAGGTTGGCCTCCAAGCTCTTTCCTGGAATCTGACGCTGATGCCCGTCAGGCCAGTTCGTGCCTAACCACAGGCCCAAGCAGAGCCACCCCACACGCCAGTGCATCGCTGCCTCTGTCTAAATGCAATGAGTGCTCCCCACGGTGCTTCACGCCTGTGTCAGTCACCTCCAAAAATTACACCTGAGCTGAGAACAAACATCGAGCTCTAGGTAGTGATGTGTTTGCTGCAGTTGACTCTGAAGGCTTCAAAAAGTGAGACGGCCTGCAGGAGGCAGAGAGACGGGAACAAAGCCCCAGCCCAGGAACATCAGGGGTCCCTGCCGGCTTTACGGACGTGTTTTTCTGTGTTAGAAGATGTATTTATTTATTTACTTATTTGAGATGGAGATGCGCTCTGTTGCCCAGGCTGGAGTGCATTGGCGCAACCTCGGTTCATCGCAACATCCACCTCCACCTCCTGGGTTCAAGCAATTCTCCAGCCTCGGCCTCCCAAGTAGCTGAGGTCATAGGCGTGTACCATTGTGCCCTGCTCTTTTTGTGTCTTTTTAGTAGAGACGAGGTTCGCCATGTTGGCCAGCCTGGAGATTTGTTTCTTTAAGTCTCTCTCTATCCAGCTGGAGTGTAGTGGCATGATCTGGGTTCACTGCAGCCTCTGCCTCTGGGGTTCAAGCCATCCTCCCACCTCAGCCTCAGAGTAGCTGGGATTACAGGCGTGCGCCACTGCACCCGGCTGATTTTTGTATATTTGGTAGAAATGGGGTTTCACCACATTGGTCAGGTTGGTCTCTAACTCCTGGCCTCAAGTGATCCACCCGCCTCAGCCTCTCAAAGTGCTGGGATTACAGGAGTGAGCCACCGTGCTTGACCAGAAGATTTTTATGGTAAAATTTTGTGATGGGAAAACTGTCATCCCAGAAAATTTTGAGACCTGATGCTTAGGCCTCAGCAGCTCGGAGAATACGTACTTCTGTCCCAGAACACCCAAACGTCAACCTGTCAGTTCCCCACCAGGAACAAAATGTAACTGGGGACGTTGTCATACGTTTGCCCTCGTCACCCTGAGCGTGTTGGCTGGTATCCAGTTCTTATTCATTCTCTTTCTTGCCTGCACATGCCTGATGGCAGATCAATGACAATAGCCATTGGAAGCTTAAGAGAAGCGTTTGTAACGTGAAAAAATAGAGGACCCTTTAGCCATCACCTGACTTTCTGTTGAATTGGGAAATAGCTTCCTCCCGTCCATGTGGGATGGCCTTCCCGATGTGACCCTCCAAGACCGTCCCTGGGGGATAAAACCCCACAAATGCATCAGCCCATGTGCTGGGGACGGGGCATCGTCATGCCAGGTCTGACTGGGAAGGAGGATGGTGGGGCAGGGCTGGGGGCTTTGAGGTCGAGGTGTGGCCGTGGATTCCAGAAAGCCCCTTGGCTGATGTGCATGCCTGCCCAGTGGCATCCGGGTATCCTAACACCTGCCCCCCGTGCCCCTGCATCCACAGGTTATGCCAAGGATGCCCTGAATCTGGCACAGATGCAGGAGCAGACGCTGCAGCTGGAGCAACAGTCCAAGGTCAAAGTGAGTGGGGCCGGCGTGGGCGGGGAGGCCGGGGTGCACGTGGGGTTTGGGCGTGGAGATTGGTGGGCTACTGCCGGTGGGTAGGGCCAGCGACGTGTACATGGGCAGCAGTGGGGCCCAGGGCCAAGCTTGGGTGCCTCATCTCACAGAAGGAAACAAGGGGAGGTGAGAGACGCTGCTGCAGTGCCGCCCGAGAGGGAGGACCAGTGTTGGTGAGGGTGTCTTGTCGTCTGGAGGGCCTGGGTCTTCTTGAGGTTCTCACCTCATTTCATTATGCTCAGCAGGATTTTTTTTGTTTTATTTTATTTATTTATTTATTTTGAAATGGAGTCTGTTTCCCAGGCTGGAGTTCTGTGGTGCCTTCTGGGCTCACTGCAACCTCCGCCTCCTGGGTTCAAACAATTCTCCTCCCTCAGCCTCCTGAATAGCTGGGATTACAGGCACCCGCCACCACACCTGGCTCCTTTTTATATTTTTAGTAGAGACAGGGTTTCACCATGTTGGCCAGGCTGGTCTCGAACTCCTGACTTCAAGTGATCCACCTGCCTCGGCCTCCCAAAGTGCTGGGATTACAGGCATGTGCCACTGTGCCCGCCCTGTTTCATATTATTTTTATTTTTTTATAGACAGAGTCTTAGTCTGTCTTCCAGGCTGGCGTGTAGTGGCGTGATCTCGGCTCACTGCAACCTCCACCTCCTGGGTTCAACCTCCTTCCTCAGCCTCCGAGCAGCTGGGACTACAAGAGCCCGCCACCACAACTGGCTGATTTTTATATTTTTAGTAGAGATGGGGTTTCATCATGTTGTCCAGGTTGGTCTCTAATTCCTGACCTCAGGTGATCCACCCACTTTGACCTCACAAAGCACTGGGATTGTAGGCTGGAGCCATGACGC